TTGAGGATTATTAATTAAATGTTTCAATAAATGGGTTCCGGATTGCATCAATATCATTGGTTTGTTTTTTTAGGCCGGCAGATACTTCTTCCATTGAAATATATTCTATAAGCAGGTCTTTCCAAATTGTGATATTGCTTTTGTGTCGTGATTTCCAATTCATGAGGATAGTTTTTTTTGCAATGATTAGGGCTATGGACAGAATTCTACTTGATGTAATGTTGATGTTCACATTGGAAATGTCTCCTAGTAAACAAAGAGATGGAAGAAGAGGGATGTGGCAGTCCAGCAAAAGAGAGAGGTTGTCAGTGATGTTACGACATAATTGCTTAAAGTGGACCTATCATGCTATATTTTGAATAATATAATGTAGGACCATACCTATATAAGGCATATTTATACTTTTTATTTTTCAAAATACCCTTTCCATATCACTCCATTTTAACACATTCTTTGCCTGTGCTATTGGCTCTGGAGAACAACCGTCTTATATTCTATGAGCAGCATCTTCGGGCGTTGGTTGCATATGGAGCAGAATTCTCTAGCAGGTTTGAGACCAAGACGTCGGCGTTCTGGGCTGATCTGTAGATTTGTTCCAATCTATATGAGGGTATCGACATTCGTTAAGGTCCCAGAAGTAGATTCAGTTATAATAGATTTTGACAGCAAGTTTTTTCTAGATTTGGAATAATGTCTGAGGGGGATAAGAGCTCAAAGTGTTGCGCTGTTAATTTTTTCCTTGACATGGATGATTGAATGTGTGGAACGTTGCCATACGACTCTGGACCATAATCATTAAATGGTATGTAATCTTGGTTTCATGAAATATATAGTAGATATAGTATGGAAAAAATATGACAAACCAAACAACTCAATGTCGATATAAAATCACCCTGCCTCCATCCTCGCTCAATAACCCCACCCGCAACAGTAAAACAGGCTTCCCCACACCGATTTCCCCGGGACTCTTTACGGTGACGGACCCACAGGTCCTTGTATTATTTTATTTTATTTTTTAAATGTTCGTTAAAGCACTTTATCCATCTAGAGTTGGACTCATCTAATGTTTAAGTGCTAATGGTCATTCAAACCATCAGGAGACAGAGCTGACATTTAAA